TCCAAAGTAATTTCTGAAAAAATATATGCTGACATTTCAGAGTACCTGGATCATTAAGCATGACAGTGCTGACCAAAGAAATAATGGTTTAGCAGGAAATAGTTATTTGCTTAAAATAAAGGCTGATGTGTTACCTTTTCACACATACTTACAAATGGTTGATAGGGTTTTTATCTTTATGGAACGTTAGCAAAAATGTGGACACTACAAAGAAAGTTGCAGATGAAAAATGAAAATTAGAAATAATATTTGCATTCTTCATTCTGAACTATTCCTCCTAGAATATAAAATAGACAGCTTGGTGTTCCCTAATTTTTAGAGGTATTCCTTCTTTGGCTGTCTTATGAAGTGTGCTGGTAATGTCATGGAAAGGGAGGATATAAGAAGATACAAAGAACAGTGATCAGGGGAGGAAATGACTGAGAAAATAGTTTCTGTGGGAGGAAAGTTGAAGGGATGGAGTCTTTTGCCTGAAAAAGAGATGGAATTCTCCCCTTCTTTCTTCTCCCCCTCCGTCTCATCTCTGTATCTCTCTCTTCTCTCTCCCCATCTTCCTCTTTCACCAGTCCTTTTTATTTTTCATTTTCAGACAGGTATTATTTGCCCAGGCAGGCTTTGAACTTTCTATGCTCCTGAAAGTCTTCATGATTGGGATTGACTTGGGAGTAGGGACCTTATGAAAGATCTTCCAATTAGATCCAGAGTACAACTCTTTTTAAGGAGCAGGAATTGGTAAGCTTTTTTTGATGATCAGAGAGACACAATGAAAACATTTTTATAACTACTATATAAGAGAAAATAATTTCCACAGCATTTTCATTGGTGAAAGTAAGTATATCAGTACTTAAAACAAACAAACAAACAAACAATGTAAGCCTATGAATAAGGATGGAATTCTTTTTTTGAGAGAGGGCAACACTTTGCTTAATTGAGGTTACATGTTCTTGTTCCCTACTATCAAATAAATTATAAATATCCAGGTCTAAAAACTATTCTTAGTTCACAATCTATACAAAAAGAGTTCAGTGAAGTGCTGCTGTCAGTCCATAGGTCAGACTTCTCTGGCCTCTGGTTTACAGTTCTTTTACAACGTGAGGACTGGGTTTTCTCAGAATCCATCAGCAATTGCACTCAAAAATGAACATGAAATCAATGTTCTCTATGAGAAGCCATAAACATAGGAGGCAAGGGCTGTGGGGGAAGGAATTATGAGGAATGAATTAACATTTATGATCTTTGAACTCAGTTAAAAAAAAAGAAATCTTTTAAAAACATGGACACTTAGGACAGTATTTCTTTTTCTAGGTGATGACTTTCTAAGTGTTAGTTATATGTTGTTCTTCCATTATGTGGGTTTTAAATTTAGCTTTGTTAATATATAAAATAAATTTCACTGATAAATGAGGCCTTCACCTAAAAACAAACCATCTGCTTTAAGTTGCACTGATTTCTATGAGATAAATACTACACTGAGTTTCTGTTATGGTCTGTTTGCTCTCCCCCTCCACATTCCTGTTGAAATCTAACCTCAGTGTGACAGTGATAAGAAGCAGGGACTTCAGGGAGGTTACCAGGTCATGAGAGTGGGGTGTTCCTGGTTGGGACTAGTGCCCTGAAAAGTGCCCCTAAGTGCCCAGAGAGCTGCACTGCTCCCTCCTTCATTTGAGGACACAGGGAGAAGGCACTATCTGAGCATCGGAAAATGGTGCTTAGCAGAACTCAGATAGGCTGGTGACTTGATCTTGGAGTTCTCAGTCTCGAGATCTGTAAGAAATAGATTTGTGTTGTTCATGAACAACCCAACGTATGGTATATTTTTACATCGCTCAAGTGGACTGAGTAACACGGTAACCGCTGAGCAGGTACTTGAAGCATACCTGTGCTCGCAGGAGAACGCTGCTGCCCTGTTCAGTGAGTGTGGGCTACCTCTGAAGTTGCTCTCTATTTTAGATGAGGCAAGGAGGAGAGATTTACAAGGAGGCAACCAAAACCACGAGTCATTCTACCCTACCATTTTCTATGTGGCCTAGACTAAACTTTGCTCATTAAAATCTAAATTTTCCACCCAAGGAGCTCTTGTTCCATATTTCTTGAGCATGCAACATATGAAGAAGCTTGATGTCAAAGCGAGCACTCTCAAGAATGTACCCTTTAACCCATGATGACAAATTTTTCTTGAGTGAATAAGTATGAGTTTCCCCCAATTAAAGCTCCTTGCTTTGTTCCCTCAGGGAACATATTTTATTACAAATGCAATTACAAGTATACTACCTATTTTTCCTTATTTCTTTTATTGTATAAGAAAACTCGATCATAAGGTACCATAATTTATTGTGGGTTAGGTTTTATTGAAGACTAAAATTACCTACCTCTAAACATGGATGTGTATTCAACATTGATTAATGCTATCTTACCAAAAAAAAAAAAATCAGTGCTTCTGGTTGCCTTTCTAGAAGGAACTCTCCAACTTTGAAAAAGACAAGCCAAGCTCAATTGTGTTAGCACCTCACAAGTTAACTCTGAGCATCATAACTGCTGTATTTATCATTAGGAAAGAAGGCTCAGTAAACATATGCAGGGCTTGCTTTTAACACTTCTGATCAAGAAAGAAACAATTTTAAGAAGAAGCTTAATTTGAGCATAACATTCAAAATGTACTTGTTTTTCTTCCCTGAGCCTTCGTCTAGTTCTTATAGAACGTAATATCTTTTGCTAACATACATGACATTTCTAATGCATATTGCCAAGCAAATAAGACACCCACTTCCCCATAATGTCTACTCATTCTTTAAGGTCCAGTTCAGAGTTCCTCCAGGAAAGTCATCCCAGCAGTCCCCATCCCTCATGTCAAGGTACTGTTCTCAAGGTTCCAAACACCACGTATCTATTTCTGTCATTATTCTTCTACATGCATTTATAAATCTGTTTAAAAGTCCACCTTTCCTTTTAGACTTCAGGCAACATCAGTAGGGATTGCATCTGACTTACCACTGCTCTATCTCCCATTCCTCTAACAGAGGAACATATGGTAGGAGCACTCTATAGGCTTCCTAAATTAAAAGGTAAATTATTGGAAATAGTGAGGAGCCATTGGTCAGCTCTGAAGGTTCTGTTTCCACTGGCATTGGACGATCACCCCTTTTTCCTCCCCTCCAGTTTCCCAGGCAAGTCAATATGACTGGGATACAATTCTGAATGGAGGATAAGGATGAGGCTGGAAAAGAACAGGAGAAGGAAAAAGAGATGTGGAAGAATGAGAGCCTTCCTCTGAGAGCAGAAAAAATGGAATAAGGCCTTGGGGTGGCTAAAGCACCCCCATGGGGGATAGCACTGTGTGCACACTCTGCAAGTTGGGTGTAGGGTTGCCCAACCACTGTGAGCCTCTTCTTCCCTTCTCCCCGCCAGCCCCCTTCCTTCCCTCACTCTCTCCTCTTCCCTTCTTCTTTTCCTCCTTCCTTCCCTTCCTCCCTCCTTTCTTGTCCTTATTTTCTTGTTGTTCTTTACCCCTTTGTAATCTTTTTGGAAGTCCCCAGCTCTACTGAAAGAAGAAAAATAAGCATTCTGCTTGGCAAAGTTTAAGAGAGATAGAACGATCACCCGCTTCTCTCCCCAGTTCTCCCCAATTTGAAATGCCATGGAAATACTAATAAATGGTAAGACTGCGGGAGAATACCATTGCCTTTCATTGCTGAAAAAATGGAGATTCTTTCTTTTGTTATAATGTGAGAGTGGGCTGCAGGGGGAAGGGAGAACTTTTCTTCTATGCGAACATTTTCCTTGTCACCCACACCAGCACCAAGTAAGGCTTAGATTGACCCATCGATGCCCAGGACTACAAAGCCACAGCTTCTTTCCAACATTTGTAGTGCTTTTCTCTCTGATCTTTTGGACTGGTTTGGCTTCCTGTGAGGAGTCAATAGCTGATGTTTGACCAATCTAGCTTTTTCTCCCTACTCCTTCTTGCCCTAAAGTGCTACCCATGTTTATCCATAGGGCAAGAGAATAGGCCACGGCTAAGCACCTTGCAGAATGGATGCACCTCGTCTATCTTCACAGCCTAATCAGCTGCACATCCAGAAGTCTGGGGGCTCAGGGCTCTGCCCTGGGCTCTGGAAACACCTGCTGCAGACCCCGGTGGGGCAGACTCACGGAGGTGTCTGATCTCTGCTCACTGAGAACCTAATTCCCGTGCCTGTTACTTTAGAACTATGTGTACATGTCCAGGAGAACATTGTGGTTTTTACTTTTAAAAATTCATCCAATGCTAATTAGAAAATGAGAACAGTTACAAAGCTTTAATAAGTCAGATTTCAAAAAAAAAAAGAAAAAAGAATAAATTTATACACAAACTAGGAAGAAATTTTTTCCCCAAGAGAAAAATGGATGTGGTGATAGGACAACTGTGTTGACCCAGCCTACAGAGTAGAACTGCTCGTGTGATTGGTGTTCTCGCTTGCTGTGGACAGCTTAAGCCCTGGAACAAGCTGGAGCAAGCTCCTGAGCTTCTTTCAGTAGTGTCTCCATCCTTCCTGTCTGGTGTCAGTAAATGTACTTAATACTTGCATAAAATGGGCTAATTGTGTAGTTTCAGAAAGAAGCCTAATTGTTTTCCAGGATCATGTAAACATTTTCATATAAAGGAAAGGCACGCACGAGGAGAATTTGGTGTTTCATATTTTACAAAGTTCTTGGAAACCATTTTTGATGGCACTGCATTTACAATACCAAAAGTAGAGAAAACAGGAAACGCATCTATCCAGATGGAAGCCGATCCAAGGTCAGAATTACATATCCATCCAGAGGCTCCCACAGTTTGGTACTTTAGTAGTTAAGAGTAACTCAGACCTCAGAATATCTTTGAAACAGACTCTGTACCATTTCTGTACCTTTACTTCCGTTTTATTGTTGCATAAACAATATTTGTAAGCAAGCACAGTTTATTTGTGATAAACTTAGTAACAAATGTAACTATAGAATTCATGAGGGTAATTCGCACTCACAGTTGCACTTCTTCTGAACAAATCTCAGCTTGCATGCTGTTCTGTAGGTGGAGAGTCGAATGCGATCCAGATCTTGAGCCCCTGGTAGGGGAATGAGAGCACACAGATGATATGCCACGTGCGTCGACAGGGATGTACAGCGTTTATAAACAAGACCACCATGGATATAATCAATACACTTGTTTGTGTTTTACCAGAATATACACATTATTTGAAGGTTTGAAACGTTCTGTCCCATACTCCTCAGGTTCAAGGGGGAGAAGACACGTCCACCTGACACAGATTTCTATCATGTTCATCAGGGAATCCTGCCTCCACCCTGTCAAGCCTGCCGCTTTTGAGAACAATCTGCTCAAGTTGTGACTTCAACCTCTGAATGACGTCAGATAATGTTATAAATAAACACACTTTCAAAAGCACTGTTGTTGGTCACTAGAGCATGACTGTGAAGGACTCCATGCTGAATACTGGACATCTTCTCTGTGGGGCCTTTGGCCAATTGCTTCTGGAAACCTTGTTTTTTGCATCTGAAGGTGGGGATGATGATGGTAAGCAATATTTATTTCACAGAGTCATTGTAAGGAAGAATAAGTGGCTATTCCCAGTGCACTTAGAACGCTGCTTAGCACACAGTAAGTGCTGTGTTAAGTGTTCACTATTATTACTAGTGTCTATTTGCAACCTCAGAAGAGAAGACGCATTTCAATCTTTGATATTTCTTTTGTTATGGCTTCCTGTTCCTTCCTAGCACAGAGGGAGTATGTTTTCCATATGTTTGAACTTCTTTCCTTATTCTACTCTCCATTAAATAACCCAGCATGGCTCCTGAGGCCCAGAACACCAGGTCTGAAAACCCTGGTAGAATCCAAGGCCCTCTGCATGCTGTCTTCCTCTTATCTGCCCCACACTACCTCCCATGTTTATCCCATACAATCCTTCCAGGCCTGGGCTGATCTTTTCCCCAGCCCTATACACAAACACTGAGCTCCCCATAACTCTTCCTACCCTCCTAAGATTAGGCTAATCTCTAGGCTGTGTCTACAAAGCCACTCTGCTTTTCTCTGCCTTCAAATACTTGGCTTTCTTCAAGCCCACATCTGTGTTTCACAACAGATATACAAGTGTGTAGTTGCATTTCACATGTATTGAACCCTGTTTACACCAGTAAAATGCACTACATAAATTCTTCGGAATATAATAGATTAGGAAGTAAATAAACTGGTGAGAAGTAATGATATTAGGAGACCAATGAAACGCTTTCTTAATGAAACTCAGGATGAAACCATGAGTGTCCCTCCCTGAGAACATTTAGCATTCCCTCAATGCAGACTGTTTTCTGTAGATTCACTTAAAAATGTTGTCGATTGTATTACTTTGTGGTATTAAATTGAGGCACATTATTAGACATCTATTCTTATGGGAGTATGCTGCTTAACAAACAGGCTCATTGATATTGGGTTGAAAGAAACAGAGGTGGTTCACATCCTGATTCAGTACAGAATTTCATTAGTGAACGGTCATGTGAGATTATTTCCAATGGTAGTGAACATTATAATTTAGTGAAAACAAATGGACTAGAAGTCCTTAATTTTGTCATTTCCCAGCTCTGTAAATTTCAGCAAGTTTTTACTTGGTATTTCAATTCCCACATGTATAAAAGGAGGATAGTTATATTAACATGACCAGCTGGTAATAAATGTATAGCCTTGGCCTCTGCTTCAAGTACAAAGTGAGCAGCTAACAGTACTGGGCCTCCTTCAAAGGCTTCCTGTTCTATTTCTGAGCATCAATACATGACAGAAATTCTTTTCTTATACTTGAGCTTTAAACTGACTCCTTACAACTTCAGCACACTTGATCTAGTTTCCCCTCTGGAGCCAAGTAATCTTTTCTGTTACTTGGTAATTCATTTCTTAAATATTTGGTAGCTACTATTGCTATCATTGTTAGCGTCTTTGCTGTCATCTGCAAATCATGGACAAAAAGTCTTTGTCAACATGGAATTTAAAGTTTAGCCGGGGAAGTAGCTTTGCCTTGATTCTTTCAGGTTAAAGACATTCAACTCCACAATCACTTCAGGTACAGTATCCACAATAGTGTCAGACATTTAACAGGGACTGTATATTTGGAAGTTGCTGTCATTATTTTCGTTATCATCAGACATGGTTTTGAGAGCCTTAAGCATTCCAGTCACACTATTCTATGGTCAGCTAATATCTCCTTAAGATAAAAGGACAAAATTAATCAAAATACCAGAGTGATTGCTTCCTCAGTAAGAATATATAGAAAGCAATTAAGCCACCTTTGATATAGACATTCATGAATGCAACATATCTATCTATCTATATATATATAATAAGTGGTTCATTTTACAGATTCTTTTTTGTTAGTACATGTCTGTAGTACATGAAGTTTCCATTCATCTTGGGGAGTAGGTACATATACATAATAGTGCTAGTTTCTTTTCTTTTTTTTTCCTTTTTTGTTTTTTTGAGACAGGGTCTCACTATATAGTTGATATTGACCTGGAACTCACTATGTAGCTCAGGCTGGTCTTGAACTCACAGTGATTCTCCTGCCTCAGCCTCCTGAATGCTAGGATTACAGGCGTGTGCCACCACTCCCAGCTTGTTAGTTTCTTTTTTTAAGCCCCTTCTTTCCACCTACCTCCTTCTGTCTTCCTTTAAATTCCCTCTCTCCATTTTCATTCTTGTTAATATTATTAATCTTAACTCATTTTCAGGCTGGCTTTGAACTCATTATATATCCCAAGCTGGTCTTGAACTCATGGCGATCCTCCTCCCTCAGCCTCCTGAGTGCTGGGATCATAGGCATGCGCCACCAGGCCCAGTTTGCAGCTTCTTATTACTGTGGTTCTTATTATTGCAGTTAATTCAAAATCTGATTTTAAAAGCCACGTGTTTATGTAAAGTCAGATCCTATTTTCTATTTTTGGATTAAGTGTAGGACTTTTTATTTATTTGCTGAATTTATTTTAATTTTTAGCTCATGCTTCTAACATTTCTGATACCTTTTAGCACTTTGATTTGTCACTGGCATTTTAAGGATCCTTGCCAGTTTCATGTCCTGTGTAAATCTGATAGGCTCCTGTGGGAAATAAGCTAAGACACCAGATCACCAGAGACAGAAATACCTGAAAAGTCTACCCACCCTTTCCACATTTATTGTTGCTGAGTTTTGCTTAGTAGCCTTAAGAATCTCAACAACTATACACAAACTTTTAAAAGAATTCAAGAAAACGAGGGGTACTGTGGGAGAAGTTCAAGCCTGGCGGGCCAGGTGCGCCGCCCTCCTGTCTTCTGAGCAAACTCGAAGACCTCTCTGAGGCTGAGCTAACTCGCCTAAACTCCTAGAGGCGGGGTCTGTGACTCCTTAGCCTTGCCCAAGAAGAATCGCCCCACCATATGTCTAGCCAATAAGATATTTCCTAATGTTCTCCACTACCGCATAACCTATAAGAAATTGCCATGTAATCAAATGCTCCTCCCATGCTCCTCCCCCATGGTTGTCCACACGCAAGCTATATAAGCCTGTGCATTTCCTAAATAAATCGGAAGCTTTCCAGAAACCTCCTGGGAGTCACCCTGGTGATTCCGCGCCTTACCCTCCCAGTCCGACCTCCCAAACTGAACTCTGCAAACCAAGCAGTGGGCATAAGCAGGGTACAGATTATTTGTAGGAATTTTCTGAGAATAATGATTTAAGCCCCAGGAAACATAAAAAGTTTGTGCTGCAGTACACAGTTCTGTTTCTTAGTCCCAGCAAGTCATATCCGCTGCGCTTCTCTCTGAGACAGGTCTTGGGGCCACGTAGCAAAGTGTATTTCATGTGGTAAAGAGAGACACGGAGATGAAGGGTGGGGACAGGAGACTTTTCCTGTCCATTCACTGTGTTGACTAAATGGACTCTCTGTTTCATTCAAGCATCCAGAGGGGGCCTACATGTCTGTAAATGTTGCTTATTTGCATATCTTCTTCCCGGTTCATGAAGTAAGCCAGAGGGTGTGGTGAGCAACAAAGTTGAGCTTTTCACGTAGCAGCGGGCTACCTTGTCCAGACAGTGCAAGTGGCACTGTAGGGTCAGATGGCATCGGGGTCCAAAAGAAGGGCAGACTTCTGCAGACTCTTTCAGTGCTTACCCTCCTTGCTTAAAGTAAATATCTTTTCTGTCCCAATAAATCAGGAACTTTATTTAATTTTTCCTGTGCAGTCTTTTCTTGCAAGTGTATAAACCTCAAAAATCCACCTTGAAATTAGCTGCATGTCTTCTGTGTTTTCACCTAAGTCATCAATTAAAGCCAAGGATTTAAACAGGAGGCAAGTGGAGCCCCTTGCGTAATACTAGAGGCCTCCTTTCTCCAAGTTGACTGACCCATTAACTGTTCCCCTAGACGTTGTCACAACGTTACCTAAATCTGCCTAATTGTATGGTCACCCTGTTTACATTTGTCCAATATGTGCCCAGCGTGAGACTTTATCAATACCACATTGAAATTAAGGTTAATTTTTAACTCAGTGATACTGTTGTGAACAGTAGTCTGGTGACCTTATTAAAAAGGGAAATTAGCTGGCTTAATTCTTTTATTCAAAAGGTTGAATTTAAATAAATGAATAAGGAAATCAGTACAGGAATCCTTGTTCTGAACATGCAGAAGTGTCTAGGATTATCACTATATTTAGTCTACAAAGAAAATCTGCTTTATCATGAAATCTACTTCAAGGTCATAGTCTAGATTCTCAGAATCCATATTCTTTGTTAATAAAGAAGAGTTTAGCACTTCTTTATGACTTTCCATTTGCAATTACTTCTTCATTGTACTTCAAAATAATGGATAATGTATGTTTTTCAAAAAAATTATATTACTGGGATATAATTCCTTAAAACTTGGAGATTCAACACATTTAAATATTTCCTTAGATTTATTTTATACTAATATATAGTGGGAGTTAGGAATAAATAATTAATGGGAGATATAAATATTATTTTATGCCGTTTTGTGTATATTGGAACATTTTAATAATATATATATATATATTTTTTATACCAGGGATCAAACGTGA